ATGAACTAGAATAAAGTCCAGAAATTGACCCATACTTAATATAGTCATGAGAAAAGACAATATTGTTTATTTATCAGGGAAATGCAAATTAATATCACAATTAATTATCACTTCATATCCACTAGAATGGATATAATTAAAAGAACTGACAATGTTAAATATTGACCAAAATGTGGTTACTGAAACACTCGTATTACTGCCGAGATTGTAAAATCGTACTACCATTTTTGAAAACGTTGGCAATATGTTTATAAATTTAACCTTGTACTTACCACGTTTCAACAACTATACTCCTAAGTGAATAACCAAAAGAAATTAAAAGTGTGTGTCCACAAAAGGAGTTACACACAATGCTCACACCATCTTTATTCATAACAGCTAAGAACTGGAAACAAGCCAAATGTGCATCAACAGGTGAATGCATAAGGAAATTATGGCACATTCACACAGTGGAATATTAATGCCCAGTGAAACAAATGTGCATCTCATCATACAGCTATGCCGGGTCATGGAAATCAGAGCAAACATGTACATAATGAATGATTTCATTTGATTGAAGTTTTAGAATAGGTAAATCTGATCTTTAGTAATAGCAACATACCAGTGGTTTCTTGGGGCATGGGTTTAGTGAAATTGATTGCAAAGGGCCAAGAACACTTTTTTAGTCAATAGACGTGTTCCATACATCTACTGAGCTAGCGGTTACGTGAGTTTATCGATTTGTCAAAACTCATCAGACAGTATACTTAAAAATGCATACATTGTATTGTATGTTAATTAAACCTCAATAATGTTGATAAAATACAAACAACCAAGGAAAGAAAGACAGATGCTTTCCAAAGAAAGGAAAATTGTACTCAGAGCAAACTTTTCAGCGGCAAAAAATGAAACCAGGCAAAGTGGAAAATAATGTTCTGAGAAAGTAACCATCAACTCAGATTGTGTGTTCAGCCAAAGTACCTTTCAAGAACAAGGGCGATAAGGACATTTTCAGGTAAGGCCACGCACAGATCTTCACTAAGGAACTTCTAAAGGGTATACTTGAGTAGATAAAAACAAAAACAGCCCCTGAAAATAGGTCTGAAATGCTGGAGGGAATTTTGATTAAAGAAATTGGTAACCATATGCATACATATACAGCAGGTGTACAAAATAATGCTATAACGTTAACACTGAGGGGTTAAAAAGACCAAAAACAGTGGTCAAATTTTCTAATCGGGTAGTATATTCTAAAGTTTTCTTTTCATTTAGGAGGAGGATTAATATGTTGATTACACTTTGCTTTTGATAAATTAAGTTTTAAGGGCAAAATTTAAGGGTAAATTCTAAGAAATAGGAACAGTATATAACTTTCCAAACTAGTAAGATGGAAGAATGAAAAAAAAAAAAACTTAACAAGTAGAATAATTCAATTATTCAAAAAGTTCGTAAATAAGAATATAGAGAACACAGGTTATCAAAAGCAGAAAGCAGGATTTCTAGACACAAGTTCAAACCTATCAGTAAACAAAATAAATGTAATTGAATTCACTTTCTGAAAATAGAAATTTTCACATTAGATTTTTTTTACTTGTTATATCCTATTTGTGAGACCTAGTTAAAATGTTAGAATGAAAAAGGGGAAAAAATGATGGAAAAAGTTCTAGTAGGCATTTTAAAGAAAACAATACTAGTTTAACTATGGAAATATCAGATATATGATAACATTTGTAATTTAAAACAAAACACTGTTAATTATAGAAAAGCGATAAACTGTTCAGTTCTCCAGAAGAAAAATAAAACTGGTGTCATATATTAAAAAAGAATATACATTTTAAGTTTTTATTAAAAGTAAGTGATGAAGTTGCATGGATATAATCATATATTGAAATAATAATCTTAACTACATAATCATATATATACATATAATTAAAAATAAATAGAAAGATAAAATCCTATTTTCCCATTGTTCATGATAGTAGGAGATTTCAGTCCAATTGTATTGATACTGATAAGTGCAGTAAAATAAAAATTGAGATATAGATTTATAAAACAGTAAACATTCCTATGTAAAGGTAGATTTATATCGAATGCACCTAGTATATACTTATATATATAGTCCTATTTTTCTGAAGCATATATAAAACATTTATAAAACTAGTAATTTATATTATTAAGAAAAACAATTCTAATCAAATTTCAGGAAAACTAATATTATACCATATCCTCTGGCTGAAATTCAATCAATTTTTAAATTATTAACCAAAATACATTTAAATAGATCCCATATTTTATTATTTAAATAAATATACTTGTCTTAATATCACACAGAAAAATTTAAAATGGAAATTGTATATTAACTATTTATCAGCAATCATGGGAAAAAGCACATATCAAACACAGGGGTCCCCACTGAAAGTGATCTGCCAAGGAGTATTTCTAATAACACAGCCAAGGATAATTGTAGAAAAGAATAAAGGTTAAAGTTTAGTAAACTTCTCATCCACATTGAGTGTAGAAAAGAAGGCCCTTCTGATGGTTTAAAAATAATTCTGCAATCTACAAGATAAGTCAGGAGAGTTCAGTGGAAATTAAACAGGGAATGAGAAAATTCTGGATCCAGTCCCAGCTCTGCCACTAATTAGCTATTTGGCCTTAAGCAACTTATTGACATTCCCTAAACTCAAGTTTCTTCATTTGTAAAATAAGTGTGTTTTTTCCAACAAGCACAATGCTTGAATATAATTATAGCTGCTTTACTTTTGTTTTTTTATGATCTGCTTAAATCTGCTTTAAGGTCTCACCATTTCCTTGGTCCCCAAATAAAAAGCTTCAGCAGAGCCCGTGACATCTCTGGTTATTAGTAGGTATTATACAGACTTCCAGTCACTTTTAGGCATAGAACATGGTCTCAATTCAGTAAGCGGGTTGTCCATCCCTGTATAATAACCAAAGCTCTGAATTTTATGTAAACTAGAGATTTCTTCCAGCCCCAGGTCACACAAGGAGTGCTAATGTTTCTGATCCTTCAAGGGCTGGAGTGGCAAGAGGACTAAGAAGAAAAGGGAGAAACTACCATTTTCTCCTGGTGATCTGGCAGAAATCAGATTCGTATTCCTTTCTCAGTTTGCTGGGCTGTAACAAAGCGCCACACACTTGAGTGGCTTAGCAATAGGAATGAATCATTTCACAGTTCAGGAGACCACAAGTCTGAGATCCAGGGGTTAAGGGCTGCGAGGGAGACTGTTCCTGCCTCTCTCCTGGCTCCTGCTGGTTTTCTGGCTTCTAGATGCATTGCCCGGGTCTCTGCCTGAGAAAATCTTGACTTTCTCATGACATTCTCCCTGTATCTGTGTCTCTGTGTCCCCGCTGCCTTTTTGTGTAAGAACACCAGTCATATTAAAGCAGTGCACTCACTACTAACCTCGCTTTGACTTGGTTGATTGCCTCTGCAAAGGCCTTATCTCCCAGTAACAGTACCTTCTCAGGTTCTGCTCGGAACTGGTTGGAAGGCCAACGTATCTTTTTTTGTGGGGGGAGGGGGACACATTGCAACCAATAATAATTCCAAAATAGATGTTTCTTCCTTGCGATAGGATTATTCTCCTGTGCCCTTTGCCGTGTGACTTCATAGTCCTTCCAGCAGGCACTGCGTCCCCATGGCTGTGGGCTTGGCCGTACCCCTGGCTGTGACCACGGGCAGGTGTGGCAGTGTCCGCAGCTCTGAGTGGAGATTGTGCAGAGCGGTTGTGGTTGTGCCCCTCCCCTGGAGGGTCTGCGCTCTGCTGTGAGAAGAGCACGCATTCCTTACTGCTTCTCTTCCGGGGTGGATTCCTGGCGGATAAGGCGCACAGGGAGAAGCGCTTCTGGGCTCTCACAGTCCAGCCAAGCTGCAGTGCAAGCACAGCCATCATGTAACAAGAACAAGAGAAAACAAGGAATATGTATTGTAATTAAAAGCCATTGAGATGCGGGGGCTATGTGCTGCCGCAGCAAAATGTGACTTATAGAGAACATCTGTTTGGATTTAGAGATACCTCATTGCTGGGACCTCTCCCCTGTGCCTCCTGGAGTCCAGGGACACATCTCTGGGCTGTTGCTAATGCCCCACTCAGCCCCTATACGTCAAGGATGTCCCTGGTCTCTATCCTGATTCTATCCTAGCCAGTCATCTTTGGTTGACAGTATTTAAGATCACACTATCCTTAGCATAATTCTCTTCTGACCCACCCTTGCCACAGAAAATGCACACACCTTCTTTGATGGGACAAACTCTGGAAATTAAGGACATTCAGAGCAGTTAGTTCCCTTCTGACGTCTCCATCGCCAGCTGGCCGGCTTCCCCCCTCATGCTCTAGATTCTTCAAAACAAGAGTCAGACGTCAACTCCCTAGGGCTCTCTGGTCTTTAGGAAAGGCGGATTGAGTGCTTCAAGTTTGTGCACATTGTAGAACAAGTCTGTGGCAGCCATGTGATTACGCTGCGCAGACCTCCTCCAGGATAATCCACTGTGAGGAGCGCAGTGACCTGACAGCCGCAGCTGCCACCTCTTTCATTCAGTTACGATGTTTGCATCGAGGCCCCACTTCCTCCCGTTGTCCCCACGCAATGACTAAGCACAGTGGGGGTACCAGTGCTACCCCATTCCTGCCTGATGGGGAAGTCCTGTAATTAAAGTTGCCAGATAAAATACAGGACACTGAATTAAAGTTGAAATTAAGGTCATCAGTTTGTCGTTTTTTGTACAGGTGTGCATGTAATAGTTGGGTAATATACTGAAAACTATTTGTTGTTGATCTGAAATTTAAATTTAACTGTGTGTCTGCATTTTTATTTGCTAAGTGCACTTATAATGACGATAGAGTTGTTTCCCCATATGGGGGAGGGAGGAATTGGTTCCAGGACCCACTGCAGATAGCAAAATCTGAGGATGCTCAAGTCTCATTCTCAGCCCACAGCCTCCTGGGCTGGATCCCAGGTTCCATAACCACAGACTCAACCAACTACGCATTCAACCAACCTCAGATCGTGTGTTAAGTCTGCAGTCCATGGTTGGCTGATTCCTGGGCTGCAGAACCAGGGGATATGGAGGAATGACTGTGTGTTTATTGAAAAAGATCCTCCTATTCAGATCCCTGTCGTTCAGAGTTCGTCTTGAGCACACCCCAGCATCCTGGCTGAACATCACCTAGAAACGCATGAAACACTTCCCATCCAGTTCCAGTCCTTGTCTCTCTCTCCCCTTTTGTAAGCGTCAGACCTGCATCATAGTTTAAATGTTTGCCCTGCCTATTCCGGCTCATTTCCCTCTGTCCTCGGCAGGCATTTCCCCATAAACACTCTTGTAACTCGAATCCCATCCTGGCATCTTCTCAGAGGACCTGAACTGACACACAGAATTTGATGGAATTTGTATCTTTATCTCCCCTGAAAATTCTATTTTCACTCTGCCATGTGGATATTGGACTAGATGATTTGCTAAAGTCCCTCCAGCTCTGTCTTACGATTTTGGGTTTCTCTCTCCGAGGCAGAGAGATCAGCCTGTGAAAAGATTCCACTTTGGCGGTATGGAAATGACTTTAACTTGTTCCAGGCAGGTTCCTGACTCCTCTAGGCTTCCTTAAACAGTCTATGGAAATTGGCTAGTGTGAGATGCTGTAAATGGTAGCTAAATGAGGTGAGAAATAGGGTCACCTCATTCCACCACATCATAAAAGCTGCAAACTACATTCTGTATTCAAGCTAGTTCCCCCCTAACTATGAATGCTGAGGTGGTAGAAGCAAGTCAGAGAGCACGTTTCTGTTAGGTTGGGCAGCCGCAGCCCCCAAGCTTGTTCGAGCTGGAGCAGGAGCTGGTTCTCCAGTCATACAACTCAAAACTGCCCACTGCTGAAGGGCCAGGCTCCTCCGTTGGAATCTCCATCCAGTCCTACTGAATACTCGAGCACTGGCTGTGTTGAAGTGGACGATGGGAGACAGGCACACTCGCTATTTTTTTTCTGTTTTCGTTTTTATTGATCTTCTGCAGTGAAGGCTTTTCAGCAGGGAAAATGTCCTATCCAGCCATTGCCTTTGTGTTATTGGAATCAGCACTATGAGCAGAGCCTTTGTCTTGGCATCGCATATGGAATCTAGGAACAAGTCGGGGGACTGGAAGTCACGGTCTACTCAGGGGTGGGAATAGCTGAGCTGTGGCTGGTACGGCGTGTCTGAGATGGTGTGATGTTTCCACAATGCGACATAGTTGAGTAAAACGGGAACCTTGAGGAAGGGGCCCTAAACCCCACGGGCAATGTGCCCCCTCCTCAGTCCTATCCCTTAGTAAAGGAAACAAGCCACGGAGACCAAGCGGACCAGCAGAACTACCACACGGGCTTGTCTGTGAAACGAACGGGATGAAGGTGGCATTGTCGCCCATCCTGCTTCAGTACCTTGACCGCTTAGCACACAAAACACGAAGACTGTTGGGGAAGGAGACAGACAGTCTGGAGGGTGGAGATGAGGAGATGTCAATGCTGTGACCCAAACATTCCGGATTAGGGTGGGGTTCCCGCTGCGGGGTTGCCTCCTGGGACCCTATCATCAGGCGGTGGCGACTGGTAATGGTGTTGCCCCTCCTGGGTCTGTTTACCAAGCTGGTTCCTTCATTCTCTGCTGCTTGAGTGTCAGCTATGAACATTCCACAGCTCTGTCCTTCTCCTGAGAACCGTCCTTGACTAAAGTGGACAGCATACCTGGAAATGCCAGGGATGTAAAGGTTTCCTTCAAAGGCAGCTCATGGCTGGTTACCAGGAGACACTGGCCACACAAGGTCAGCTCCAGGGCCTCAAGTTTGGACAACTCTGTGGTGTTTTTCAGGCTGCAGAGTCGCCCCCTTTAGTTGAGGCTAAGGTCAGACATCCACTGAACCCACCTCTGCCTAAATCTTCCTCAGGTGAATCCAATTACCCACTCCTGTGCTGAATTCAGCTGAGAGCACTCTTTCCATCAATCAATCGCTCGAGAATCCTTGTCGCAGGTCTGCTTCTAGGGCATCTGACCTATAGCAGAGGCTTCAGTTCTCACAGCAGATAAATGACGATGTAGTCGAACAAGGCAGAGGGTCAGTTACTTCTCAAGTCATATTGCTGTGGGATCCCAGCCCCGGTTATCACCAAATGAAGGTTTGTATTTCCCCAATCATAAAACTTAAACATCTCCATAACTCAAGGGTCAGAGTTCCTCTCCAGGAATCTGAGGTCTGACAACCCTGCTAAATTCCTCTTTGCTGCTTCAGAAACTAATAGGTAATGAGGGGACGCATACCTGATCTTGCTTCTGGCTCTGTGATTTTCCCCTAGTAAATACTGAACCAGAAATTCTGATGAGAATCATATTTTATGTTCTTGTTTGATCAACAGAAAATATCCCATTTGGCCACCAAGAACAGGATAAGAATTGGGAGAAAAGTGTGGCACTTCCAACCACGTTGCATCTAAATTCTTTGAGTGGACAGAAAGGTATTGCAGATTAAATTATTCACAGTTCCATCACTACCGATAGTTTAAGCTTGTTAATGTAAAATCTTTTTTTCTTCTTTCTGCATTATCAGCTTGTCACATGCTGCTTAGAAATAATATTCACATGCTATTACTCTCAGCAAACAAATGAGAAAATTGAAGTGGAATTTAAATCATGATTTCATGATTTCCCCAGAGTGGAAAGCATGGGTCTAGTTTTGGAAGTATAACTTTAGAAATGGAGTAATTGCAACCTGTAATTTTAGCTTGACTTTCGCTAATGAGGATCTGTGGACGTGTGTGCGTGGGGATACCTTTCTAAGCTTTGACAAAGGACTTCTCCTGTTTCTACTAAGCAGCCCCCGAAACCTCTTAGGCTGTCGTTACTCACTGGTTACTTACTGTTGATTTATTAGTGTGAAAGGAATGAAGAGAAAGGAAAGTGGCAGACATTTTAGAGACCCAGGATTAGAATTAGAAGATCTCACCTTGGGGTGAGGAGAGAAACAGTTCTACAGTGTAAAGAAAAAATTGGAACTTAACAATGCATTTCAAGGTCTATGTCATTGCTATATGCGGTTACGGAGGACTCCCTAATCTCTTCCAATATTATAATGTTATAATATTATAGTTGTCAATAAAAAGGAAGATGGCCCCTGAACAGCTGCTGTGGGCCCCACGGCAGGTGTGTCTTTCCTCCTTAGATTACACATCCATGCTCCAGCCCGTTCTAGTTTATAGGGAAATTGACTGCATTTCTTTGTGCCAGAAGTTTCTGCATCTGTAACATGGGGATAATGATAATATTTTCCTCAGCATTGTGAAGATTGAGTTAAGTAATGTAACGAAACTACTGGCACATAGTAATGGATCAATAAATTGCACCTATTTTTATGTTTCTGTTTGCTTTTTACTGCTTTTACTTATGTAATCTTTTGGCTTGGTCAAAAAGTTCAAAATTCACGTGGATACTTCAAAATATTTGCTAATGATGCATAATTAATGTTTAATATCACTTTTTCTTTTTTTGTTTTATTTTCACACATAAAAAGGTTTGGCTATCTTGAGCACCTTAAATATTATATTCCAATCAGTAATTTTACTCCTCTTAGTCTGTCAATTATAGCTGAATAAAACTGGAAGGAAAAAAACCCCTCCCCTTAGTAGAAGAAAGAGAACGAACATTCTTTAAACAACTCTTATGGACTAGTCCCAGAGGGAGATGACTGTGTCCTTTCGTGGCTTTCCAATTATAAACATAACACATACTTGTAGAAAAATTTGGCAAACACAATTTGTAAGGAAAACATGAGTCTTCCACAGCCACAACGATCAGCGCAGCCTTTTTCCAGAACTTAAAGATACTTACTTTCAATTTTTTAAGTGAACATTGTTCTAATTATAAAAGTAATGCATTTTCCATCTTGTTTGCTGATCTTCAATGCTGTGTAAATTTACTATGTAATGACTGATTCTGTGTCTGCTCGAGCTGTCATGGTACCTACCGTCTGTTGTGGATGTGGCTCTTGTAAACAGAACATAGCTGGGTTTGCTCTCTTACCCAGTATTTTCACTGAAGAATTGCATCTGTTTATACTATTCATGATTAATGACATATTTGGACTAATTTACTTTAAGCTGTTTTGTTCTGTCCCCGTGACTTTCAGGCTTTTTCCTTCCCCTACAATCCCCTTTTTCTTTTTCATTTTTTCTCCTCTTTTCTCTTCTTTTGGATTGGTTGGGTTTCTCTTCCATGTCATTATGTTTTCTGCTACTAGTCTGAAAATATACACTTGGTTTCTAGTATTTTAAAGATTATTCAAGTGATTTAAATGTATATATTTTATATAACCCTGTATACATTTAACTGATGTTTTTAATTCCTTTACGAATCGTTTTATTCACTAACTGCTTTTCATCGTATATGCCATTTTTCAAAATTTTCTATTTATCTTGGCTTTATCCTCTAAATCAGACATTATTTTACTGTTAGTCTTCAATTTAAACATTCAGGTTTCATTTTCTTTGGTAAAGAGTCTGTCTTTTTTTGGGGGGGGGTTGAGTAATTTTCTTCTCTGTGTGATGGCATCTAAGTTGTTCCTTTGGTTTCTGCAGTGTCACTGTTGCATCTCCAGGTGTGGAATTCTTGGGATTCAGTGGGTTTCTTAAACAGGAGAATGACATTTTAAATTATTAGAAAATTAAGCTATTTTATCTTCTGTTATTGCCTCTTTCCCGTGACCTCTGCTGTCTCCTCTGGAATTCTGATCAGAGTATCCCACGCTTTTCTCTCTAGCCTTGAAGCATGCGCTTCTCCCAAATGTGAGAGGACCGTCCCTTGTGCACAGTGACCTGACTTCTTTGCTGCCTCTATCTTCCAGCCCATTACTTATGCTCTTGTCTTCTGATTGAATAGTTATTTGAATTTATATTTTTACTTAACAATTTTCATTTATATAATTAGTTATTTTAAAAAATCAGCCTGATTAACTTAAAGCGAAGTTTTTTTTTTCTTTTGTAACTTGTTCAATTTGTTAATTTCAAAATCTAACAAGTGTGTTAGACTTATTTCCTATCCATATCTGGTCATTTCAGTATCTGTAGTCTGCAGTTTTGATTCCATAGACCACCCTCCGCTCTCCTTTATGTGGACACTTGCTCAAATGGCCCCATTCTGCTACTTAATGAATGTGAGATTGTGAATGCATGTTTCTTGGACCTTAATTTGGGGGGGAAATTCTTTGAGTTCTCAGTTTAGGGTAAGTTTATTCAGCAAGGATATAGGTTTGCTTTTGCTAGGCTCCTGGTGGGCAATACCAGACGAATTTATGAAATATTTGTCCCATGGTTCTACAGGTCACATATGTAGGATAAACTCTAGTCTCAACTCCTTGAGTGGAGGTTTGTTCTTAGAAATTCTTAAGGGGACCTTTATTTTTATTTTTCTCTCTCCCTAGAGTTCAGACTAAGATAAGAGAGGGTATTCCTATGTTCTCCCATCACAGAAGATAAATCTATATTTATATCACATATAATATGAATTATTTGGTTTGTAGTCATTATTTGAGAGAACTTTCAGATTACTTTTTTTTTTTTGCAGAAGTCTCTCACTGGACCTCCCACCATGCATGCTACTCAGGCTTTACCTCTTACCTTCAACTCCATATGTGGTGCCTTAAAACCAAGCATCTAGGTTCCACAAATCTACTGAGTTTTCTGCTACTGAATCCATCCAAGGATGGATTGTGCCTATTTGCCCCCATTTGCTTGCCCACATCCATCCCTTGCTTTTCTTTACCCTTTGCTCTTCTGCAAGGAGCTGACCTCTGGAGACTGCCTCATCCAGGCTTCTTACACACCGGCTACTTCTTGGGTTCGGGCAGTGGATGGATTGGCAATGGTTCAGACAGTCAGACAACAAGATTCCTTCTCTGTGCTTACTCCTCGTCTGGCACAGATCTGGGGGTAGTGTTGCATGCTCATTTAAAACTCCTGCTGGGTGGTTCTTCTATGGCCCTACGCCATTTTAGTTTTCTCTAACACCATTCCTTTCATGGGATAGATACAGGGTAACTCTTGTCAGTCTCTGGATGTTTCTTAGTCCTTTTTGTACCTTAAGCGAGAATTACCCTCTAGAACAATGAGCTGCTTCAGAACCATTTTTACTTTATTTATCTATTTTTTAAACTGAAGGATAGTCAGTTTACAATGTTTTTTCAGTTTCTGGTGTACAGCATAATAGTTCAGTCATACATGTACTTATATATATTCATTTTCATATTCTTTTTTCACCATAGGTTACTACAAGATATTGAATATAGTTCCCTGTGCTGTACAGTATGAACTTGTTGTTTATTTTATATATAGTAGTTAGTATCTGCAAATCTTGAACTCCCAGTTTATCCCTTCCCATCCCATTCCCCCTCTGGTAACCATGAGTTTGTTTTCTATCTCTGTGAGTCTGTTTCTCTTTTGTAAATAAGTTCTTTTGTGTCATGTTTTCAGATTCCACCTATAAGTGAAATCATTTAGTATTTTTCTTTCTCTTTCTGGCTTACTTCATTTAGAATGACAATCTCCAGTTCCATCTATGTTGCTGCAAATGGCATTATTTTACTATTTTTTATGGCTGAGTAGTATTCCATTGTATAATATACCACCTTCTTTATCGAGTCACCTTTCAATGGACATTTAGGTTGTTTCCTTGGCTGTTGTAAATAGTGCTGCTGTGAACATTGGGGTGCATTTATCTTTTTGAATTAAAGTTCCCTCTGGGTATATGTCCAGGAGTGGGATTGCTGGATCATATGGCAACTCTATTTTTAGTTTTTTGAGGAATCTCCATACTGTTTTCCATAACGCCTGCACCAAACTGCATTCCCACCAGCAGTGTAGGAGGGTTCCCTTTTCTCCACAGCCTCTCCAGCATTTATTGTTCGTGGACTTTTGAATGATGGCCATTCTGACTGGTGTGAGGTGATACCTCATTGTAGTTTTGATTTGGGTTTCTCTGATAATTAGCGATATTGAGCATTTTACCATGGGCCTATTGCCCATTTGTATGTCTTCATTGGAGACCTGCTTGTTTAGGTCTTCTGCCCATTTCTGGATTGGATTGCTTGTTTTTGTTTTTTTTTTTTTATTAAGTTGCATGTTTCCCAGAGACCCCTTCTTAGAATGTTTCCAGATTAGAGTCGGCCAAACAGAACCTGCTGTGGACTTGGGACTAGGATGTGATGTCTGTCACTCTCTCAAGTTCCTGGTGGTCAGATGTAATGTGGGACAAACATAGAGGCGCCCGGTGGCTAACTTCCTGTCTTCACCCTCTTCTGGGTTATGCTGCACTTTTTTCTGACAGCTGACTCATTCCACAAATAGTAGCCTCAGACCAACCACCAGATGCTTCACTGCAAACTCACGTAATAGTTGCTACATGGATGCAGAAACTTCCATTTTCACTGTGAAGATGCCTGAGATAAAAGACCATGTGGAGAGAGAGTCCCAGATATCACAACCATTCCAAATATCCTAGGGGAGTCTCAGACTTGTGAGTGAGATGGTTATTTACCTTCCAACCCCCATCAAAGCATCCGAGTACCTAGAGCCATGTGAGTGACCCCAGGCAAGACCAGCAGAAGAAACATACTATTAAATCTTGAGAAAAAATACAGTATTATTGTTTTAAGCCACTAAATTTTGGGATTTTTTTTTAACGCAGGCTGTAGAAGTCAATACCTGTGGCTGCAATGTTGCTGTAACAATTAAAAAAACACCCTAATACATGTAACTTTGGGACTGGATGATTGGAAGAATCTAGAACAATGGCAAAGAGGCTGCAACTGGAGACTACAGAGGCCCTGAGAAAACCATCAGAGGCTGGAGGAAAGGTGACCTTTGTGATTTAGTTTCAGAAAAGTTGGCCAAAATACTGCCTGTGATCATTTGGAAGTTAGGACGAGCAGTTGGATCTGCCTCAGGAGGCTTTTAGGGAGAATGCTGAAAGGCTAATTGGCTTCTTTTAGTACTGGATGATCAGATACAGGAAGAAAGAGGTGATTAAAATAGAACTGTAAGGGGGAAGGGCACAGCTCAGTGGTACAGTGATGCCTAGCATGCACGAGGTCCTGGGTTCAATCCCAGTACCTCCATTAAAAAATAAATGTTACCCCCTCCAAAAAAAAATAGAACTGTACATTTCGAACAGAGTTGATGAAATAAGAAGGACTGATACTGTTTTGTGTTGGAAAATAAATTCAGCTCACCCCTAGTCTCCTCCGTTAGCAAACCATCATCAAAGCAATGAGACCTAGGGCTACACGTGAAAAAGGTGCATCAGTAAGACCTTCTGCTGATACTTACGAAAGATGCCAGGTGCTGTCAAGCACACACTGTCAGTCAGAACAAAAGCATTCACAGCATCATGAGCATTGCCAAAATAGCCTCACCCGTGCCCCCAATAGTGGGAGGCCATCTGCGCCCTCTAGCCCCAGTTAAACTGTCCGATGTGATCCCAGGTGGCAGGAGGAACCCCAGGTGACACCAGGAGCGGAGCGGCTCAGATTTCCAGGAGTGCCCTGTTGTGTGATGTGTTATGCAGTAGTTGGGAACTAATGCAAGCCCTTCATCATAATTATCTGTAACTGGGGGTGTGATTAATCTGATTCAATGATTCTTTTTGTTTCTAAAATGCTAAACGACATCTTAACGCTATCAGTCCAGCATAGATAAAATATTTAACACTGAAGCATTTTGTATTTTCCTTTTAAAATTGGCAGGTGAGTTCTATATAGTAGGACCTTGTCATTTATTTTGTGTACAATAGTTCCTATTTGATAACCTATGACGAAAAAGTGTATGAAAAAGAATCTATGTGTACAACTGAATCACTATGCTGTGCACCAGAAACTGAGACAACATTGTAAATCAACTATATTTCAATAGGAAAAATTTTTAAAAATAAGTGAAATACCCCTGGCAGATGACGAAATAGACCTAAGAAGAGCTCAGGATTACATGGAGAGATGCAGCAGTAGCCATGGTGGGTGGCTCAGACTTAGCTGGAAGCTTTCTTTTGTTTTGAGGTACTATTGTTTATCTTCATTTAACCACTTTATCCTTTTCCTAAACTACCCCCCAAAAAAGGTGTGTGCGTTCAACAATCTTTTAGAGCAATAAAGTGAGTGTGTGCCCCACACTCCATTTTAGAACTACAGACCTAGAAAATCCCCTTTCTCCTATTCTGAAGCTTAATCTTCCCGGGACAGTCTCACTCTCCAAAGGGCTTACAATGCCAGTGTCCATCGTTTTTCCTCAGCAGTGTTAACATGAACCCTCTTGAGAGAAGGCGATTCATAACCACTACCAGACACCAGGGACCTGGGACATGGGCGTGTGCCACAGACGTGACTCCACATCTGGAAGAGGCATATTTTGGCCCAAACAGGGCATTCAGATTCTCCGCCTTTAGTTACTAGCACCATCACCGTCGCTGCCGAGAGAGCAGCAAACATCTGGCCCTCTGTCTCCTGCTGGATCTCTGACTCGGGAGTCCCCCCGCGCTCACCCCGACCCAGAGTCAAGGTCCCCTCGCCCCCTCCGGGGCGGGTGCGCGATGCCAGCCTCGTCAGACTTGGACTCCCACCCGACTGGCAGGTCGCCGTCTTGGAAATGCTCCCTGCTCAGGGCTGCCAGTCTCCTTGTGCGCTCTGCCAGCGCCTCGAAACCGATGCTCTCTGCGGGAGGCAGGCAGCCAGCCCAGCCACGCTGTGATGAGGGCGTTTCTGGGCCAGCAGTGCTTGCTCGTGGCCCCGAAGGGAGAAGTCAGTGGTCTCCTCTCTAGCATTAAACCTAGGAATCATTCCTCCCCCCAAGCCATGCTGTTTAAAATCTAAATATCGGAGTTACTTGTTCACCCTCGCAAACACAGCCGCCGTGGATGACGCAGCGCTGGCGTTACAGGGAGTTCAAGGCTGGAGAAGTGTGTGGTCTCAGCAGGAAGCTCTTCCCCGAGCTTGTCTCTCTCCGTCGGACTTTCTGAGCCCATCTCGGGTCCTCTCAGCGAGGCGTCCCTGCTGACCAGCTTAGTGTCCAATTCCATTGCTTAACCCAGGCTGTGCCGTTTCAAGCTGGCACATATGATCTAATACTGTTGAACCTTAAAAGGGAAGAAATTGGAGTCTTCTTTTTTCCTCAAGTGGCACATTGGTCTATATGAAAACTTGTTTTTCCTAAGCAAGCAACACTTGTGTTCCACAGCTGAAAAGAGTCGAAGTCCTGTGGTTGGTGAGAAGGGAATAAAAAGTGGCAGAAAATTATTTCCAGTAGATGGGCTGTCAGCCTCAAAATTGATTCATTATTTCACCTTGCCTGGAGAGACAGTCAGAGCCCACTTAGATGTTTTATTCTCTAAATGGGGTCTAGATTTTCTATCTGTGGCGAGAGTACAAGAGAAAGAGATTCTTAAAGAATCTTTTAAAGGTAGGAAAAATGCTCTAAGGATTTTCTGTCACAAAACTGAGAGGACTCCTCTGTTTCTGAACTGTCAATCTAACTTTTTCTAAAACATTTTGGCAGTTGCTTCCCTCAGAGTTGTCAAATGTGTCACTGATAATAGCGTTGCATCACAGAGGGGGAAGGGGATGCGAAGAACTTAATCCTCCACCCTTGTCAGCGGTGTGGTCGGCACCTTAAAAGGGGGGTCCTCGCCCTCCGACTCTGTCTTCCTGAGTCTGGCACAGCAGTGGGGTGTGAACGGGTGAGGGGAAGGGGTGTTTATGCAAAGTCTACAAAGTGTTTGGTGTTTCCATATTTCAAATTCTCCACAAACCTATGGGAGCAAATTCATCACCTTCCAGTTGCACAGGAAAGGGCTGAGGCTCAAATAAATCAAGAACGTTTCTGCAGGTCCGACACCTGTTCGTGTCCCCTGGGCTGGGTGCTCAGGTGGACCCAACTCTGGAGGCCACGCCCTTTGCACTGAATCACGTTGTGTTGCTGAGCACGTGTTCGGCGAATATGCGGAATGGTGGGGCGTGAGTGTGCTGGCTTTCTTTATAAACCTACAGATTCATAACAAGTACGGTGGTCAAGGTGGTCAGAAGATGGAGGAGTGGCTGAAATCCCTAAATGGCAATATGATAATGTGATGCGGTGTTGAATGCGCCAGTAGTTTGGACTGTCACAGGCAGGGCTGCAGCCGCCCAGCCCAGCAAGACTGTCATTTTATCCCCAACAGAAAATTATTTTTTAAAAATGCGATGTGTTTATGGTCAAGCCCCCGGGCATATGCACAAGAACGCAGCCAGCATTTACATTTCCATTATCTATTAACTGACACTGCCTTTGCCAGTCATTTGATACAATTAAGCAAATGCTTGACAGAACAGAAGGGTCTTGTAGGGATCCCTGAGGGCACGTCTGCATTAACTACGCCAGTGGGGTTAATGTGCCCATTTGGCATCTGCATGCGTTTTCCCATCAGCAAATACACGAATGCCTTGCATCCTTGCCTCTTTTGTCCCAGAGGAATAACAGTAAATGAATTGAGCTATTTGCAGTTTGTTCTGGTTATGTCTTATGTTTGAAATGCATCCACACCCATCGTAAATTACATTCCATGCTTGTGTCTCCTCTTCATTTCCTTGAAAATAGCCTAATTTTTAAATTTAGTTTACTACTGATGCAGGAAAATGGAAGTGGGACATGAGGGCTGTGTCCCAGGTCTCTGGGACGTGCCCCGCCAAGTGTGGGTCCTTGGCTTCGCACAGGGAAAAATTCAAGGGTGAGCCACAGTTGAGTGAAGGTAGATTTATTCAGAGAGATACATTGAAAGGCAAGAGAGAGGCCACGAGGTGTGGGGGTTGGGTGCTCAGATTAAAAGCAGGTACACACTCCATAGGCAGAGTATGGGCTGTCTCTGAAGAAAGAGAGAGAGGGGCGGCATCGAGGCACCATGTTGCTGGTTTTTATGGGCTCAATGCCTTCATATGCTAATAAGTGGAAGGACCAGTCTACGTAGCCTGGGGAAGGGGCAGGGATTCCCAGGAAGTTGGCCATTTCCCACTCTGACGTTTTGTGGGTAGCCTTGGGGCTGCCATGGGGCCTGTGGGCGTGTTAGTCACCATGTTAATATGTTACAATGGGCTTAG